GGGCCGTGGCCTGTGGTAGAGACCAGCCATGATGGACCCATGATGGACCCCCCAGCCCTGACTCCTCAGGGTGCACCCCCACCCCAGCCCTGGACCCCCAGCCCACCCTCCCCTGTGGGGCAGAGCACATCAGCATTCCTGGGAGCAGGGTCCAGCCCCGCGGCGGCCGCTCGCCGAGGGAAGGCATTGAGGGGGGATTAGCCGTCTGATGCCCCCCCCCCCTTTGCTCAGGCGCTTAATACAGAAAACAAACACCCTTGTGCGCCCCAGCAGCCTCCATCCAGACGGGCTTTCTCTCTGCCCGTTGCCTCAGCAACCCTAATCTGCCTCCTGGGGCACCCCGGGGCCCTGCACCCCCCCGGGCCCGTGCACCCCAGCAGCTCTGGCAGTGCCAGCGGTGTCCCGGCTGTGCCTGGCACGCGGCTGCCGGCGGGATGCCACGACTCCACCACCTCGGGAAGGGGCAGCACACGGTGGCTGGGAAAGGCTGGAGGTGGGGGCTGTGGGCACCCTGCTCCCCCAGGATTAGGCCACCTCTGTCCCGGTGCGTGAGTGAAACTGAGCCCAACCAAGAGGCAGCAGGACCTGGCTGCACCGACACCACATTTCCTCACTTTTCTGCTCAGGGCAGCAGGATTTTTGGGGTGGAGAAGCCCCCCTGCCATAGCAAAAGGGGGAGCACCTCCTGTTCGGACCGGCCCTGTGCCCACAAAGGGAATGGGCGGTGGGTTTGGGGGAGTGTGGGAGCAAGCTGCTCCAGCCCTGGGCTGCCAGATGGGTCAAGAAGGGGCAAGAGGCTTGCACCCCAGTCTGCCTCACCCCAGGGCAGCACCCAGCCCAGGGCAGGCAGGGTCCCTGGGTGCTTTGCAGACAAAGGGGGCTCTTTTCCCATCACCCTGGCTGATATTGCTGGCATCAGCATCCCCAGGACACGGGGGCGAGGGCAGAGCAGGTCCAGGGGTGCATGCCATGCCCATGGGCCCCATGCCCACCCCCTGGGCTGGCGAGGAAGAGGAGAGAGCCCTCTGCTTCCCCCCCATCGGCGGGCCGGGGGCGGGGGGGGGGCCCGCACTTTTATTGATTTATTTTGCGCGCAGGCTCCCTCCTGCCACAGAGACACAGAGAAGCGCTGCCGGGCTGCGACCTCCGCCGAGGGGGGAGGAAGAAATAAAAAAGACAAAAAAAAAAAAAAAAAAAAAAAAAAAAAAAAAAAAGGGGGGGAAAAAAAACCCTTAAAAACTTTGTCATTGAACCCCATTAAATTCCAGGAGTCTAAATTCCAAGTATTTTGATACC